GTGTTTTTATGTTGCGCACTGACTGAGTTATTATAGTATATGCTATGATAGTTATGTAATATATTAAGCATGAGAGATCTTTTTTAATCAAATCTTACAACGGAGAATTTTTAGTGGGTCCGAGACAATTTGATAAAAACCGGCAAAGTATTGATTGTCTGATGTATTTTCGCTATTGAAACTTAAATTACGGGAGTAGACAACCCTTTCAAAAAATCGCGAACCCCGAAGTTCCAAACTTAACTAACGGTTGCACTTCTCGCTGCCCGTTTATCGTAATTACGACGACTTTAATCAAACCTTAAAAACAAACACCAAAATGGATCGAAATTTGCCAAACGTTACCTTTTGAGTCCGTTATCTGAAAGGTGCCCTAGGATGGCAGCGAAAAACGCAACCACTTTTTGAGTTCGTGTACGTGTTATTGAACGCACACTCAAAATGAGGAGAAAACGATTCCTTTGACGCTGGTAACAAGGTCGATAATAAATGGTAATTTTTTCTTAATCTAATAAAAAGAAATATCTTTACCTTTCAAAATTGAGGGCTTACTTTCTTCCGTAGTTTTAGTCCCGTTTGTCTCGGGAAATTCGACATAAAAATCTTCTGTAGCCAGGGTGTACTCGTTCCCAGCAGTCTTTGTAAGGGTGTAGGTTTCTGCGGAAGGTTGAATCTGAGTTTCGTCTCTAGCAAGGTTCGTACTTTCAGTAGTAGCCTGGGTCTGAGTTTTTCCAGCAGATGGAATCTGGCTCACGCCAGTAGCTTGAGTTCCTCTAGCTTCCGCAGCTCTTGTCCCAGTTTCTGTAGCTTCCCCAGTCCTCGTCCTAGTTTTCTCAGCCGATGGAGTCTGAGCTTCTGAAGTAACTTGGGTCTCTGTGCCTTCCACAGTCAAAGTACGAGTTTCGTTCGTAGATGGAATGTGAGTATTCCCTGAAACGAAGATCTCACTTTCGTCAACCATCTGACCCTGGCATTCCTCAGCAGGTTGAATCTGAATTTCGTCTAAAGTCAGAGGGCCACGTTTGACAGCAATCTGGGTCTGCGTTTCCGTAGAAGTTTGAGTCGAAGTTTCCCTAGTAGCCTTTACGGGTGAGCTAGCATTGCTTTCTGACAAATCAGCGTAAGAAAGAAGCAATGTTATTTTTACGTTTGAAGAAATACTACAGAAATACCTGAGTGACACAAAAGATCTCTACATACTGTGGTGTCCAGTTCGCTCAACACCCTGTGCCCTGTAATTTACCGTAATCGTTTATTTTTCTGTTGTGGGTTCTACTGGCTGGTCATCATTTTAAAACGGTGCTCTACAGCTCTCAGTGTAAGATGATTGTCGAACGATAAATCACACCTAGACTACAAGTGACAAAGCACCACAATCATTGTTAACTTGACATAGCTAGCTTCCTGAATGAAAGACATCTCAAAACCTATAGGTTTAGTTTTGACTGAATAAAAATGTGTAAACATACTTATCTCATACCTTAAAAGAATGTTACTTTCAACTTACTTGGTTTGCTCGACAGAAACTCTTTGCATGCCAAGTAATCTTCTTCTTGAATAGCTGTTGCTAAATTTACAGACTCCACATGAAATCTCCTCTTAATTTCATCTGTCACGAGGTATTTCTCCGCTATTTTATTTAAGCGCCCAGAACGATAGTCTTCCCACAGGCGTTCCAGTCCTTCTAGATTGTTGCACTTCACTGCTAACCGTAAACTATTCTCACTTCCTTCTGTTGGCGTTGAGTCGTGAATTAGTTTTAGATGCTGAAAGTACTGAGGTAGTTCATCAACTGGAACATCACTTGTTTCTTCTTCAGACAGTAGTTGTTGACTTTCTTTTCCTTCTTCTTCTTCTTCTTCTTCTTCTTCTTCTTCTTCTTCTTCTTCTTCGTGAACACCATTATCTGACTGTTTGTATTGAACGTTGCCTCTGTCTTCAAAGTTATCAAAGAAAAAAGTTAATGAAACGTGAGGAAGATAGCAAATGTTCCATTGGTGTTCTTTCCCTTCGGGTTTTAATCCATGCAAAGGACATATCCCTCGTCCTAGTTATAAACATGTAGTTGCACATATAAGGTATGTTTTTTTGACGGTATCTTTGGTTCCTTTATTTGTACGTCATTTACTGTCGTTGTCATTATCTGTAGATATCTGGACACTATTTCTGCATTAACCTTGTTGTCGTATGGATACGTATGTGGTGTATTTTAACACATATCAACGCAACACCATGCAAATATTGTACTAATATATTTGCTTTAGTTGAAATACGATACTAAACCAAAAAAAGACAAGAAAATTTTCCTGTCTGGAGCAGTGGGATCACTATTCTGCGAATAGTATCAGCAGATTGTAAATAAATAGACCAGCAGTCAGATTCAAGATTTAAAAGTTTAAAAACAAACAAACAAACAAAAAACAAAACAAAATGAGCGCTTACGTACTAAAGTAATGAATTAGTTTAATAAGTAGGCACTCAACCTAAAATTTAAATATTTCTGTAGCTTCCTTTTCAATTTTATCCTTCAAATTTGTCCTACACCCCAGGGCACAAACGAAGCATTTAATCAGTGCCTTATGTTCTGTTGATATTCGTGACTTCTTGAAAAACGTTGTAACTTACAATTAACTGCAAAGTGCACTGTCATTGGTTCATCTTCTTCAGCGGTTTGAGTCTGAGTCTCATCAGCAGCTTGTTCAATATGGCCTTGGGGCGGTGATTCATCTTCCTTCAATGATGAGTCCTGGTTCACTTCTAAATAATTCAGGCAAAACACGACTGCATTAGTATTTTTGTGATATTCTTTTTGCGCCTGTTTATATAAAAGTGTTTGAAGGAAGGTTGTCCTTCAAAAGGGTAAACGCGTACGCGACAATGTCGAAATGTATTATGGGTAATGGTGGTTCACAGTTATCACAGGAGGCCCAGACAAACTGTTTGTGTGCTGTGCACATTTACATTTTTATAGCAAATGTATGGAATTTTCCTAACACCTCGCAGAATTGCATAAAATCACGAAAATATGAACAAATACTTGCTCAATAAAAATAAATGCATCTTATATATGGTATACTGTCGTTCTTTTGGCTCAAAATTGCCCATTTTAGCAGGTTTGAGG